ACGATCTCACCTGCGCACCACATGCGCTTCAACACCGGCAGGGTCAACACCACTGCTACACTCTTCGTCCTCGCCCGGATGGTATCAAAGATCAAATCCAGGTCCTTTAGCGGACAGCCAATCCAAAGGATGGGTTATCCCTTCTACCCTAGCATGCCAACGCATTCATGTTCACAATGGCAAGTCAAGTGGAAATGGTGGATTGCGATTTTGCAGAATGCCAAAGGGTAACACGAACCTCAAAGTTTATCGAAGTGGCGCATTTTCTGGAGCACCCCCTGTTTCCACCTGCTTCAACCGGATGAATCCGCACAGTTGCATCAATTGCAACAAACAAGACAACTTGGATTTGCACCCCCCTCCTCCAGCTCGTCAGAATCCAGGAAGATTTGAGTCTTGCTGTGCTGGAGTGCCAGCAGCTTGAGGAGACGGCAAAGGCTTCCAGCAGTACCTTTGTGGTGGCACAGGAAAACCCCGTAAAGGCTGATTGGCAAGAAGTGGCACCAAATGGAGTAGGCAATGACCAGTAGGCCTGCAACGAAAGGGCTCACCACCGCCAAGGCCAGAAGCAATCCCAGCATTTCATTGGATTTTTCTGCATCTTGGCTGATCAAAGGGGAAGCCCCCAGCAGCAAGATTTGAAGGAGGATCGTAATGCCTAGATCTGTGTAGTTGGCTAAGCTTGTCCTCCAGGGCCACAATCGAGCTTGCAAGGCACAAGCTGCCAGCAACAAAATCCCCATGACCTCCATCTGAAGTGAGGGGACTGAAGAGAAAAGGGCAGGGAAAAGGGCCAAAAGAGCGTTACGGAGGAGCAGCAGTAAACCATAGTAGAAGCACTCTGGTTTGAAGCGTTGAAACAGAAAGCGATGACGGTGCACCAGCTGCAGCCCCACGCCTTGCGCGATGGAGAAGGCCAAGGCGAATTGGCCATGGCAAATCTATGCACAATTGATATTTAAGGGAACCGCAAGCTGGTTCTCAAGTTGTCCAAAACTTCTGAGCCCCTCGCAGTTTGAACAGGCATGCGCAAACAAAAGAAGCCATCTATTCTTCCGGGTTCAATTGTTTCCACCCCACACCTGAAGTGATCCGGGAGGGGTACTTGCAGGTGGTGTAGGTTGCCCAGGCAATGATGGTCACCGGATAGCAAATGATCCCTATGATGGAAAGCGTCAGCATTACGAAATGCTCACTCGAGTCAAAACAAATCACCCCTGGGTTGGACAGCATTGACTGAGATCCATCCGGATTTCGTCCACATTGCAGCGGATCAACCACTGTCAAGGCGATGGTAATGAAGAGTGCAAAGGTAAAAATGCCGCAAACGTTGAAGACCTTGTCAAAGTGCATCTTTTGACCCCTGCATTTCCTGAAGGCCCAAATGATGAAGATAAAACCAACACCCACGGGACAAATCATCAATCGACGCACGAACTTCATGGTGGGACTGTCAATCCCATGAACGCACGAAATCCTGATGAGGTCCAGGTCGAAGACCAACACCTTCCCGGAACCAAGCCAAACCCAGGAATTGCTTCGCCAAAAAAATCCAACAACAGCACAAAGGCTGCAACTATCTGCAACTGATTGTGCGAAACATCGCATGTTCGACTACAAACGTCTCATGTCCAACTGCACTACCATGTAGAAAACTTTGTCCAGTCAAAGAGACCGCACCCTGGCCCCACCTGGGTGAGGCTCATCACATAACGGACGGGCTCCACCCAATTGATTGACAATTCTCGAATGGAACCCAAAGCTTGTACTGCTGTCACCATTTGACCTGGCCGAGCCAGTGCTGCCACGGGGCATCTTTTAGGAGTTTACCTTACGCTGGACGACATAGTTGTGGTTGAAGTAGTGTTACACGTGATCCTCATGTAAAGCAACCAGTCAAGCAAAGGAAGGAAGAGCCTAGAAGCCACACCCCTAACAACACGCGCATTGTCTACAAACCACTCACAGTTCACTTTTCATGCCCAAGTGCCGCAGAACAAAATTTCAAATAGATGCAAATAGTCACATTGCTCACCAAATGCTGCAACTTCAATACCGTTCAATGAAGCCAAGCTTGGTCGACACCACCACAGTCATCCCACACACCAGCGACACGCGAGTCTAGACACACACGCACACAGCACGGAGGCCACGCAAACGTACTTGCACAATTTTGTGCGAGGCCTCGAAAAAAGGCACAGCAACATTAAATACTTTTGTCGCATTGCATGCCACGGAACAGATGCAGCCATGTGACCACACGCATATTTCTCATTCACTTTCATCAACGGCACGGGGCCATGCAAAGGCACTTTCCACTGAGACCGCCAAACCGTATGGCACAGCAACACGAACCGCGCGTGTCACATGCTCCGTGTAGCGCAGCCCAGGAGCAACTCCCAGTGCCACTCCCAGGAAGGAAGCAAGGAAGGAAG